ATTAGATATTCCAAGTGAAGCCACTTTTTTTTACTATCTTATTAAATTCTACAACACCACTAGAATATTGGTCTAAATTTTCAAGTTGATGCAAGTAAAAATTTCAGAGATAGAGGCTTTGATAAACTGTGCGCTCGAGGTTAGCTAGGCTAAGTGCGCGGTCTTTTAAACGCGTTTTACTAGAAACTGTGTTTTCGAAGTCGGTTGACAAGATTTCTCGCGAACTATTCATAACATTTTACACAAGTCTTTGAGATACAATTCTTAAAGACTTGGACGAAGGATTTTTTTCGATTACAACTATTTAAAAAAAAAAGTTGTGAAATTTGTAAAAATGTCTGCCAAAACTCCAATTTTCAGTTTTTTTCCTTCGTCCAAGTTCTTAGTTAAAGTTAAGGTTAACTAAAGCACATATGTTTGTTTTCACTTGTGATAGAGTGGTCCTGCCAACGCGGTCGCATCGTTCTTCCGAGGGACACCGGAAATTAAAATTTTTTTTCCCCAAAAACTTCAAAATTTCTTTGTACGTTTGTAACAATAAAAAATTCTAACAAAATATTTCATTTATTATTTTTTATATGAGAAAAAAATTGTTAAAGAGGATATTTTTTACCCGTTGAAACCCATGTAACCCTATAACAGAAAAATTATTCTAAAGGAAAGTAGAAAAGTTTCTTGCTTCAGCTCGAACTTCTTTTATGAATCTCAAATATTTTTTCAGAGGTAATCCTGTTTGTATGAATATTAATTTGTTAAAAGCTAACACTTCGTTGCTTGTTCGTGAATTTTGCAAAAGCAATACTATAACGATGCCCCAGCCTCCATATTCACAGGATATCGCTCGGTGTGACTTTTTGATATTTCCAAAAACATATGGTAAAGCACATACCTTAAAAGGCCGTCATTTTACAATCTAGATGAAAATCCCTGAAAGAGCTAAGGCCTATTCCAAAAACCTTTCAAGCTAGATTCGATGTTTCGATGTTTGGAAGTAGCGCTATTTTAACAGGTTTTATTTTTTGCACACTTCGCGTAGTTTGTGACAATAAAAGCCACAGCAACTGCAGTGGGCACTCAAAAAGTGCTTCTCTGCTTTCATGCTCATAAGCGATGAAATTTGCAACATCTTGCGGCCTTCGCTGTGAGCACAGCAAAAAAGTGCTTCTTTACAGTAGCAGAACCAAGCAAACTGGCTAAAAGCCATCACTTTTCGAAAAGCTACAGTCTACCGACCAGTCGACAGCACTGCAATTGGCATACATAGCTGCATTTCAATTGTTGTTGCTACATTTCGAAAATGTTAAAGCAACAGAAAATGCATTGGCTCGCCAGCGAACTCATGGGAACTCGTCACCTGCTTGCATTGTGATTACTTACACATGATTTGATTGAACCGCACATCTGCTGGTCGGAGCCGGTGGCATTTCTGCTGCTGCGATAACTATTGATGAGAGTAAATGCAGCTGTCAGCGGTGAATGTGCGCGCATTATTGCAAGAACGCTGAGAAATAGTCAAATAAAACGGCAAACCAATATGTTTGCCAATTGAATCAAACTCGTGTAAGAATTTATAATAAAAAAACTATTAACGATGACCGCAGCTATGATTGCTACACCTTTAAAATGAATTATGACTGTTTCATTTTTTTTATGCCACTCACGTATTCACGCCACTTCCTTTATTACTGAGAATTCCCAACTATTAATTGGTAAGCGCCGTGTGGCTAAAATAGCCGCATATTAACGAAATTCCTCAAATTCTTCAACGTATTCATTCATTCAATAATTAAAATTACAATGAAAAATGTGGACTTATGTCAATCACTTATATGTACATATGTAAGCGTGAATTTTAATGCGTGTCTGTTTATCAATTATGAAAATCGAAATTCCCGATTCAATGATTTTTATTTGGGTTTTATGGTACGTTCGTTGCATTTACATTTGTTAGCAAGTAGCTTATTAGTACTGAAAAAAGGTAGGCTGATGGTATTTCTAAAGATGTCACTTCGTACAAAAGTGCTGACTGGAGGCACAAAAACTAAACAATTTACAGCTTAGGCCCAAAATCTTTAATACTTAGTGTGTTTTCCCTTTCACACTTGTCTCAAGGTTGTAGTTGTATGCACCTATAAATACCATGCACAAGTGAACACTTCTCCACCAGTTACTAGTCACGAGTCGAGGGGCTATACGATAGATTGCTTTTTTTTTTATAGGTTAGGTTAATATGGTAGGCCAATAAGCCAAGCATAGATCAGTTTGATAAATTACGCAACCAGATGGAGTTCAAGCGGAGTAGTCATCATTTAGGATGCCCGTGGTTTGACGCGAATATCTTGGGCCTCACTATCATATCATACCGTGTGAATCTCACATGCTTACAGCGTAGGCTTGCCAATGTGGGAGAGGTGCACAAGAGATGATCCATTGTTTAAGTGGTGCCCTGCTCCAGGCATTTGTCAGGTATTCTTCTCGTTCGGTCAGCCTCATTCTGCGGGTGTGTGTCGCCACCAGACCGTGCTCAGTTAGTATTCTCATCATATTCCTACAATCACTTTTATCGAGTGCCAATAGGAATTTTGTGTACTTCTTATCTACCGTTTTCAACATGAATTTTACAATTTTGCACCCACGTATCTCGTTCCATCGGGGTTTGATTTTATTTGCCATGCTTTTGTCAAGATCGTCGTACAGACAATGCGTGGGTATCCCAATGTTGATCACGTTTTCGGATGTTAGCCGTACACCATACTTGGCGATCTTGTCCACGACTTCATTGCTCTCGCTGTATTTGGCATCCAGTAGAACTGAAGTTGCTTGCTTCTGGCAACACTTTCCACTGCCGCTCTGCTTCCCAAGACACTTCTGGCCGATATGCGATACGAGGTTACTTCTTTGATTGCTGCTTTGCTGTCCACGTAGATGTTGACTCTGGAATTGCTACAGGTGCATTAGAGGTTAGCTCAGCGGCTTTCACAATAGCAAAGACCTCAACTTGAAGTTTACTGCAGTGTTCCGGCAACTTAAAGGGTTGCTTTATGCTTAACTTTGGACAGTATATTCCAGCACCAACTCCATCATCCAGTCTCGAGCCATCCGTTGTATAGATGTTTAGAGTATTGCCCGTTGCTAACACAACGTTGCCCCAGGCACCATTTCTATGCTTACTTTGAACCTTCTTTCCCAGTTGAAAACCTCCATTGAGGAATTTTGTGTTTTCAGCTTTTTTAATATTTTTTTTTTAAATGTTCTATTATAAGTTTCGTTGTAAAAAATTTATACATCACACAAGTTACAAACTTACGACAAGTGTTCTCAATTGTCAAACATGCAAACACAAACGTGATGTGCAAGTAGAGTCTCAGAGCTCCGCATACACTATACGTATCGACAAAACTATTACAACGCAAATACCGGTTAATTGTTTGGAATGGGTAACTGGCTAGACTGCGATGAGCGTATTCCAAACAAATTCATAACTTATGCAAATGTCATACGCACGAAGTTGCTTTAAATAAAAGCAGTTTTGGCGGTCGCCTCGAGAACCTCATATTATTTAATCACGGGCTTAGCACCTGTGGTGCATAAATACTTTAGAAATAAATTTAAGAAGTACAGAAAGCACGACCATTTGGCTGAACAAAATTGAAATTTTAGCAGGTCCCCGAAACTTGCGTACTTTGGTTGGTTGGTCGCTTGATAAGGAAGGCGCGAAAGCGGCAGACCGCATGCGACCGCACTTAAGCCATCATTAGGCCCATTTTTCTTTCAATTGGTAGTCAAATTAAGTACTCTCATATTTCATCATCCTCTGCATTCTGCCACATATTTACATTTTCAATTTTGTAAAGGTAATAACTGTGATGACCCCTACAATATTGCTGAAGTCCCTTCTGCCTAGAAGTAGGAGCTTTTTGTTCTATCCACCATCAACATTATCAGACTTTGTGGTATGCACTGTGTTGCTAGTTTTCGCAGATCTAAGGTGTTCCCTAGGATCCATTGCTTTAAACAAACCTTGAAGGAGCTGAATACTCTGGGGCAGCTTCGGATAATTGTGTTCCCAGCTGCCAACAAGCGTGCCAACACATCTGTCTTTTCGTTTCCTTTCATTCCTATACGACAGAGGCTTGGAGCATCTCTTGTGTATTTCTCGCGCATTGGCAAGACTACGCTGTAAGCATTTTTGGTACGGTAAGACAACTTGAGGATCGATAATGAGGCAGCAGAGTCCGTTACAAGTCGCGCCAAGCGCAAGCATGTTAATTTGGTACGGCAAAGGACCAAAACTGGTCTATGCGTGGCTTATTGGACTACCAGTTTAACTTAATATAACCTAATTTATTTGACTAGGTAACCAGATGATATTAACCGAGTTACCTCCTGAAAATCTAGTAATTACCTGCTTACATAACCTTACACAGTGTGACTTAATGTAGGCACAGCCAAGGGTCTTAATTTCCGCTTGGCCATCCACTAGAAAGTTTAGAGCAGAAGCCCACTTGGACGCCTTCTATTATGCCAACATTTTCAGAATGAATGACTAAATGTAGTAATTTCGTTTGAAGCTACCTTTTGCTTATAGATTTCTACAGAGCAACCCTGCTCCTGTTCCCATTTCCCCCCTGTATATTTTGGCGTTAAGACAGAGCCATTGATTCATTCTTCCATACTGTGGAATGAAAACGTTGTATTTAATTCTTTGTGGATTTTCTTTTCTTGTTTGCATTGCTAATTTAGTCCGAGTTTATTAATAAGCTCAAATATGATACCATGCCCGTAGTAACACCGAGTCTGGCTTCAATGGCCTAAACTCATGAGCCGACGTCGATGTAATTTTTATTACGCCCATAATCCGCAGGAATGAGGCCCGCTGCATCTGTTGCAGAGGATTAATGCGGCACTTTTTACATTAGGCTCTTAAGTTTAAAGTTATGCTTCAAAGCTTTATTTAAACAAATAAATGTTACCACATCTCTTCATTAATATATTTACAGTATGCCGCTCATTAGATATACGCAACTCTCCCAGCGAATTGAATCAGTTGCGCAATTGCACGGTCATAGAAGGTTTCCTACTCATAACACTCATGAATCAGCACAATCCGCAGGAGTTCACACAGACCTTTCCTTTGCTAACTGAAGTTACGGAATTCATCATCATTTATCGGGTTCACAATCTACGATCGCTGTCACAAATCTTCCCGAATTTAAGCATCATACGTGGCACAACACTATTTGAAGGTTATGCTCTCATTGTCTACTACAATCCACATTTGGAAGATTTGGGCCTCTCCAAACTAACAACCATTTCACGTGGTGGTGTACGCCTTGAGAACAATATCGTACTTTGTTATGTGAAGACAATTGATTGGAAGCGCATTGTAAACCTTGACGCAGAAATAACTATCGAGGTTAGTTTGAATCAAGTGATAGTGATATTTGTTTATCGAAAATGTTTGTTAAATGTTTAATTTGTTGCGACAGAACAATAGCAAACTGATTGAGTGTCCCAAATGTCCGGGCGACACAAAGCCTGGCAGAGAAGATGGCGTCGATTCAGAATTGGCCTGCAAGGAATTCGATGGACAAAGACGTTGTTGGAGCAATAAGAAGTGCCAAAAGAGTAAGTTATTTATTTGTGGTCAGTATAAATGACAAATATTTTACATTTTCGCTTACAGTCTGCCCGGATCGCTGTAAAAATAATTGCGTGGATGAGAACACTTGCTGCAATGAGAACTGCCTTGGCGGTTGTTCGCCCAACAACTTAGACGAATGTATAAGTTGTCGCGATTTCTCCATCTACAACAACACCTGCATTGAGAAATGTCCCCGTAATTACTTTAGCGTAAGATCAAACTCAGTTGAAATATAAAGTTAAATGGTAATGCTGACATCTTTCATGCCACCAAATTCTTTAGTACTTGGATCGTCGCTGCCTCACAGCCGAGGAATGTATAGGGATCGGTACGAAATTCGAAAACAATAAACCACAGATTATTGTGCCTTATGACGGAAAGTGCTCAACTCGCTGCCCAAATGGATATAACAAAATCGGTTCAACGTGCCAGGCATGCGGCGACAACTGCGTGAACAAGTGTGATGGGGCGCACATCGATAGTGTGGAACGCGCGAAGGACTTTACCGGTTGCACGCATATTGTTAAAAACGGCCTAACTATAAGCATTAAGCGTGGCGGAAGTAAGTAGCCCACGTAAGTAACTACATTTAAAACATATTAAATTTCGAAACTCTTTACCAGAACACTTAATGGAGGAATTGGAATCCGGTCTGTCATCCATTCAAGAAATTAGCACATTTTTAAAGGTACAAGGTACATACGGCTTGACGTCATTGTCGTTTTTCAAACACCTAAAACGTATTAATGGTACTGAGCTAAGTGAAAACAAGTAAGTACACAGACAAACTTCAAATGTTTTTGTATAAGAATTCATATTTTGGTGTTCTTATGTAGATTTGCAATTTATGCGCTCGAGAATAATGATCTCGAATCAGTTTGGGGCGATAACCGTACCGTACATATTGAGAGGGGACGCGTCTTCTTCCATTTCAACCCAAAGCTATGTTACAATGAGATTGAGAAATTGCTGCCGATGATGAGAGAAAATGCAACATTCGATAAAAATGAAGTGGCCACGGATTCCAACGGACATAAGGGGTCATGTGAGTGCTTATATAACAAACTAAATAATAGCTACTTTAATCTGACGAATATAAAACTATACTTACTTCAACTACGTGCTTATCTGATTTTTAGGTAACACAGAATTATTGAATGTTACTGTGTCAAAGGTGTCGAGTCGTGTGGCGGTTGCTGAAATCGAAAATCCACTGGTATTTGATGATAATCGCACCTTCATTGGTTATCAGTATTTTCTAATGGAGGATAAGTACAAAAATGCCACCAAATATTCACAGCTCATCTGTGACGACGGGTAAGACTATGAAAGTGCCTGTATAAAGAGCAATAATACGAAATTAGTGTTCCCTGTTGTTATTCTATAATTTGAAATGAATTGCTATTAACATTATCTTATAGACATTATTCTACAAAGTACATTAGGCATACGGATATTGATGGGTGTCTTTTTTTTATTATAATTATAGCTGGATTGTAAGTGATCCCACCAAGGATAACCAATATATCTTCGTAAATCTGCAACCATACACGCAGTACGCGTATTATGTTAAAACTTGGACCATATCTTCGGAGAAACGTAACGCACAAAGTAATATACATCATTTTAAAACCAAATCTGCTCAACCCAAATTCGTACAAAGCCTAAACGCCTACGCAGTATCGAGCTCTAAAATCGTAAGTAATATCGTAAACATTTAGTAGAACCATATGTGTCTATAACACATATTAAGTAAATCCAACAACTAAATAATACTGTAACGAATTCTCCTCAGGCTATTACATGGACACCACCCGCGAATCCGCAAGGCAATCTAACGGTCTATCGCGTACATGCTACTCTTGACAAACGCAGTCAAGTTTTGGATTCACGTAACTACTGCAAAGATCGTAAGTTGAATATACATATTTACCTTTTATATGCCTTTTAAATAGTATACTTGTGTTAAAGTATATGAGTAATATGAATTTAATATGCTTTATGATATAGCTGCCCAAATAGACAAAGACGATGATACAAAAGATCCTACACGGAATAGCCCTGGTGGGGTGACGGAACCACCAAATGCTGCCAATTGCAAATGTGATGGTGAGAAATCGCCAAATCACAGCGACATAGATACCAGTGAGGCAACAATTGTGGCTGGCATTGATTTCGAGAATACACTGCAGAATTTCATTTATGTAAAGTAAGTAACTTTTAGACGAAAAATCCTAAACTAACTCTCTGCTAACTCATATTATTAAATTTTACAGACACACAAACGATACCAAAAAGTCTAAACCGAAAAATGTTGAACAAAACAAAATATCTCTCACTGAAATGGATGCTAAACGACGACGCCGACGCAGTGAGGGCGATCCCGAAGACAGTTTTCTTGTACGCCACATGCGTGCTACGCCCGATAGTTTCGAAAATATTATACTTAAGACAACATCTGAAGATGGTAACAATGAGGATGCGACCATTATAACCACGGTGGCACCAATTGAGCGAACCACACTTGGCAATACAAATGCATCGGGCAATAGCGACAACCGTATGGATGCGACTGGTCAATTTTATGAGACCTTCGTACAAAATGTGTCCGTCAACACTCTTAAATATGAATTCACAAATCTTAAGCATTTCTCTTTCTATACGATCGGTGTCGAAGCATGTCGCGAGCCCGAAGAGGGCGCCACCGAGAAAGAATGTAGTGATATACGCATGAGGTTTGTGCGTACTAAAAAACTGGGTACGTATATACATATTATATTTACAACCAAATATATATTCTATATTTCCTACCATTATATAATATATAAATAACACGTAACGTTTTTGCTTACAGAGGGTGTGGACAAGATAGAAAATTTGCGCGTTGCCTTGGTACAAACAAATACAACGCGAAGTGAAGTACGCATAAATTGGGATCCACCAGCGAATCCAAATGGCGATGTGGTGTCTTATACGATTTCCTACAAGAAATCCGAACAGGACGCTGTGGAGGAGAAACGTTGCATCACTGAAGTAAATTATCGCAATTTGACAAACGGCTACACGATGCCGTTACCGACCGGAAATTACAGTATTAGAGTGCGCGCAAATTCATTGGCTGGCGATGGCGTTTATTCAGAAATTGTCTATATTGACATTCCGGTAAGTAAAAATCCACTACTTTCGTCGATAACTGTATTTTAAAACTCTTGAACTTCTTACAATAAATCATAGCCTGAAAAATGGTCTGGAGCTTTGATTGCCGGCATTTGTGTTGGAGTCATTGGTATAATATTTCTGATGGGTGGTGTATATTGGTACGTTCGACGAAAATACGCGCCTCCAAGTGACATCAAAATCATTCCCACCGTCAATCCATACTATATAAGCCTGCAATATGTGCAGGACGGCTGGGAGGTAGAACGAGAACGCGTTATACAATTAAGTCCACTTGGTCAAGGCTCTTTCGGTATGGTATACGAAGGTATACTTAAAGGCTTAAACGGTACCGAGGATACACCATGTGCTATTAAGACGGTCAATGAAAATGCCACCGATCGCGAACGGATTAATTTCTTGAGCGAAGCCAGTGTTATGAAGCAATTCGATACATATCACGTAGTGCGGCTACTCGGTGTTTGCTCAGTCGGCCAACCTGCATTAGTCGTAATGGAGTTGATGAAGTTCGGTGACTTAAAATCATACTTACGTGCACACCGTCCCGATAGCGTACAAAGCGATGAAATGCCCTTCAGGTACCGTGAAACTGGCGTGCAACCACCACCACTGAGTCGTGTCTTTCAGGTAAATTCGTTAATTTTTATTCTCCAAGGAAACAAATTTGACCTTTGTTTCCTATAGATGGCCATAGAAATTGCCGATGGTATGGCTTATCTATCAGCCAAAAAATTTGTACATCGCGATTTAGCAGCTCGTAATTGTATGGTGGGTGCTGATTTAACAGTGAAAATTGGTGATTTCGGCATGACTCGCGACGTTTATGAAACAGATTACTATCGAAAAGGCGACAAGGGTATGTTTGCAAAAACTTTGAGTATAGAAAGAAATAAGAATTTGCTAAAGTAAAATATCTTCAAACAGGTTTGTTACCAGTACGTTGGATGCCGCCAGAAAGTTTACGTGATGGCATCTATTCCACTGCCAGTGATGTCTTCAGCTATGGTGTAGTACTTTGGGAGATTGTCACACTCGCTTCACAGCCATATCCCGTATGTATTTATCTATAAACAAGTGTTTTGAAATGTCTAACACTTGTACATTTCAGGGTTACTCTAATGATCAAGTATTGCGTTTCGTCATCGAGGGCGGAGTTATGGAGCGCCCAGATAATTGTCCAGACAAAATTTATGAAATTATGCAGCAATGCTGGGAACATCGGCCCTCAAAACGACCATCGTTCTTCAAAATTATACGCGTACTATTGGATCATGTGCACACAGATTCCGAAGGTTATCTTTCGCGCTTTCGTGAGGTATCCTACTACTTCTCCAATGAGGGTACGCAGGAACGTGAAAAAGAACGAACCGGTATGGGCACTGTATAATAGTTTTTTATATGAATTAGAATTATTTACTTTACTTATCTACATTACATACATACAAACATGTACATTCCGTATATATAGCAATTCTAACATTTTTTTAACATTTACAATTTTCAGAGAGTATGCATCCCTCTGGCGATATATTCAGTGAGGAGAATGAAATCGATGACGCTACCACTCCGTTACGTACCGACGAATTCAATGAATATAAACTCAATTTGGCTAACACTTCCTCTGTAGAGCATGAAGGCGAAAGTCCAATGGCCATCGACGATGACCATCCTCACTCTCCATATAGGTGAGAGCAAGCCAAGCAACATTCAATAACTTAGGTAATTTTTAGGCTATCAGAACAAATTTCTATTGCGTAAATATCAGAGATCCAAAGACATGAGCGAATTTACTTTTTACAAAGAATAGATTTAAAGACTGAAGAAAAAAACTATGCGAAAGCATTCCGTAGTTATAGATATATATAATATTATAATGACCCATTTCGATGTATTGGCGAAAGTAAAATTTTTTTATTTGTATAAAAAAAATTTAAAAATTATATTCAACTAAATTAAAGAATTATATTAAACTTCTAATAAAATTAAACTTACAGTCTTAACAAATTGGAAATTGTTCGGTCATAGCCCAAAAATTACAACAAGAATATTAAAAATATATCCAAAAAATTGTTTTATAAATAAGCTCATAGGATATGAAACAATATGATATGAGTTTATTTATTACAACAATGTACTTTGCATACATGTACATTATTTGTCAATTTTTCATTAATGGATAACATATATGAATTGGCAGTCAATCGTATTCGTAACCTAACTAAATGCATTCCTCATATATCAACACACTCTTATGGACACATATTGCTTATCACTAATTTCTATTAAGCAAAGCATACACAGTATGTTTATAATCATTAGGGGGTCCGTTATTACGAAAATTTATTTTGAAGTTTAAGTTTTTGTGGTAAAAGTAATAATCCAACATAAAAAAACTATTTATTTTCAATTTAAACCGTATCGTTTCACTTTTCCCATATACTAAACTTTATATGGTTTTTTGATTTGTTGTAAGACTATTTTTGTCTTCAAAGCAAATTAATCTATAACCTTGAAATTTTGAATTTCTAATACCAAAATCTATAAAAAAAAATGTTAATTGATTTTTTCATAAAAACATTATACAGTAAACGTACTGTATTCATATAGTACACCATGTTGTAGAAGCAAGACAGAATGTATATGGAATCACTGCCCTGAGTAATTTAATGGATAACTTTAACTTTTAAAGGCATGTTTTTACGAAACATAATCTTTAAGACTGTCTGGAGCGGAAAATTCAAAATTAGCATATCAAGATATCAAAATATCCGATATTACATACTTTGGTAAAGAAATATGATTTCGGCATGGTTTAAATTGAAAATAGAGAGCTTGTTTAAGACGAATACTTATTATATTACTAAAGCAAGAACTAAAACTTCACAAGGCGTGCAAAAATACAATCAACTTGAGAAATAACGGACACCTTAATAATCATATATGTAATGTGAGCTACACACTTCAACTCGTACTTTTTTTGTATAATCCCACTGTCTTTGAAATTACACAATAAATATTAATTCTTAACAACAAACTCCATATTTAATTTAATTGAAAACACAGCCACAGCCTAGGCTCAGCCAACATTATCAGCAGCACGCCTGACGGCCAATCCAAAAATAGCTACAATTTCTCGCAAATGTCGCACAACAATCAAACTCTGCTTAGTTCGGTGCCATCGACATCGGCAGGCATTGTTAGTGGCGGCTCGCATTCGCATTCTCATCAACTACATCAACCGGGTGCACAACTGCGACAACCACGCTACAGTCAGTTTCCAACAGAAGAGACGGCAGCCAATTACATACTACCAGACTATGATCCTCGTACAGAATTTAATGGGAAGAATGAAGGACAAAGTGCCTTAAGCGGTGCTAGGATGGAAACCGATGAGCGCGGTTATGAGATGTACGATCCAAGTCCGAATTACCGTGAACATGGACTGTATGACGCAGCTATAGACGAGGACGATTTTGATGGTTTACCAACGACCGGTCATAGCTCCAGAATAGGAAGCGGCGGCCAACAACTATTGCCACGTAATAAACCGCGTCATCGCATGCCCACAATAATGCCAATGTCTAGTTCAATGCCCGATGAAATGACGGGTACACCTATTGCTTCATCGCTGCATCCATCTACGGCATCGGCCGCTTCGTCAAATGCCTCATCAGCCAATACGACAACGGGACGCTATTCGGGTCTGAAAGCCGTGGCCGACAAAATGCGTTTTAAAAACATTAACCGACGCATCTTTAATCACAAGCGCACGGGTAGTAATGCCAGCCATAGAAGTACGAGTTCTAATCCAAACACCACCACATCTTCGAGCAGCACATCTAATATAGCAGCGACCGGAAGCGTTGGTCGCGAAAAGAGTGTAAGCGGTCAGAATTTGGGCACAATTGAGAGTGGTGGCAGTGGTAGTGCCAGTAGCTATGTAACACCACGTTTTTTCACTCCTTCCTCCGATGTACTAAATGCGAGCAGCAATCCTAACTACCGTTTGTTGGATGAAACTGCAAACACATCGTGTCTTTCCGGCACAGGTGACGCAAGTGATTTCCCAGCAAGTGGTAACAGAAATTACAAACGTCTTGACGAATCACTAAACGCCACATTGACACCTGGCAAGCCAGCCGGTACACCATCTAGTAACATTGCTTCGTTCACACCTCGACCGTTTTCAAAATCTATTGATAACGCCCCCTATACTCTGATGGGCGCCGCGGGGTCAGATTCTACACTGCGTACCACTGATAATCCCAACTACATTGTAATGAATCAATCAGCCGCACTTACCCTACCGCCTTCAAAACTGTCCCAGACTACCACTACTAGTCCAATTGCATTTGCGCAAAGAAGTGACGATGCCGCTTATACAATGATGGGACCTACGCCACATGAACCAAGCACTAATATATCATCGACATCATCGCTAGACGACGACCCCAAAGTGGTGGCTCATGATGATGACGATGAAGATAATGATGATGAAGATGATGAGCCGACTGAACATATAAGAATGGAATTGCTTGGTGGTCATCGACGCGGTAGCGATAAAGCGCAACAACATCGCAAGTCGCGCGGAAAACGAAGCCGCAGCCAAAGTCAAAACAAATTGGATGAAAAACCTACACAAAAAATCACAAACTCACCCGGAACCACACCTACCAGCTGCTACCCAACGCCCGCTGAAGGTGGCAGTAGTTATGTAAGTTTAACGCCCGCAACAACAACAACAACTACATCTCCGCCAGCTACACAGTCTAGGCCATCGGCCACCTACTCACTCAAAGAGAAGTGGTTACGGCAGCAATCACAGCAGCCACAACAGCCACCACCAAATGGTTTCATAGGGCGTGAGACGTAATATCATTAAGCGAAGGAATAGCATAGAACGAAAAAGACAAGGAAGCGCACACTGCCAAAACAACACGACGAATCTTACGAAAGTTCATTATGTGGGACAAGTGGCGAATATATTGGCTCCAAAACAAAATTTCAAATATTATAAATTCTACGCGGTGGCAATAAGTATACACATATATGTAATTTGTTTGATAGATGTATGTACATACAAAGTAGATGACACATGCTGAGTGCAAATTTTTGTTTTTTCCTACTGATATTTTTAAGGCAAAAAAGTAAATTAAATTAAATAAATACTATAAATTCTATATGTATGTCTGTATGCATATATATATATGAAGATATATATTTATATACGATATGCCAAGCATCATTTAGTATAATGATGCAATAAAAAACCAAAATCGTTGAGACATTCGCAGTCTTGTGTGAATTGGAGGCATGAGATAGAGGTGCTTAATTTAACACAGAAAATTGTAATTAAAATATTAAATGATATCAAAATGCATATGTGCTCGCTGAAAGGAATTTGTAGAGAACAAAATTATTTAAATTATTGACGAAACAACAATTAAAAGGAAGAAGCTTATAAGTAGCTGACATCTGCATATTCATATTTATTTTGACAGAAAGTAGCGAGCTTTAGTAAAAAGTGAATGAATGATTGGTTATAACAATGTTCAAGGGATAGAAGCCATCTGTTAACAACTAAAGAGTTTTCCAACGCTACAAAGCATTAACTTCATATTAATTATTTAAAGTATGTAAAATAAAAGCACTCAAGGTTGGATAGAGAATCCAAAGCGCACTAATTTATATAATATTGCACCTTAAACATTAGCTCGTCATGAGCTAATCATCAATGACTATAATGTGATGTCTTTAATGACGTGTTTATGGCAATTTCGCAACCAAAATAATACGATGAAATAGCATTTCCTACAAATAAGACATTTCTTAAAGTTTTCTGCAAATAAGATATTTTTTTTATAATTTTTGTATTTTCGAAAATGTTGGTAAATCCACAATCTGTTGTTGTATGCACACATAACGAGTTTTGTTTCATTGAAGATTCCTAATTTCACCAAAATATTGAGTTTGATTGCAGACATCACATTACATACAAATGCATTGTAAATTAAGAAGCGAGTAACTTGACAAAAAATTGCATGCTGTTACAAGAACAAGAAAGAATTTCATGTTGTTACAGCAACAACAAAAATAACAAAAAAAATTCATGTTACAACGACAACTAAGAATTGCATGCAAGTTTCATTTAGTGGCAACCATTTGATTAAAACAAATTTCATTATTTTATAAAAATTATATTTAGTGAAAATTTAATTTTTTACAAATTATTATGCATACGAGTATAAAGTTTCACACTGTAGACTACGTGTAATAGAAATTAATGTAATGTACTTATGATGTTTCGGCTTAAAAAAAATTCAAAACACAAAAATCAAAAAGAAAAAAATAAATTCAATTGAATTGAAATATATGCATAAATGTTCATAATTATGGCGAAATAATAAAATAAAAAATTATTAGAAAATTTAATAAATCATGCTAGGAAAAGTACTAATGTAAATGATTAACTACACGAAGAGTTGGAAATTTTAATATGCATTCGCAGTCTTAGTAAATAATTATGAAGAAATTATTTAAAAAACATATTCTAATTCAGATAATTATAAATGTTTGTGTTCAGCCAGGAAACATTTAGCACACAAATTTTTTTCTACTCATACTAAACAATTATTTACATATACAAGTTACACTTGTTTATGAATATTTATTTAAGACAAGCAGACAAGATGTATGCAATTTCATTACTATTTATATACAAATATTCAACAACAGTTATTCACGGCCTACAGTTATGAAGGGGAACACTCATAAAATACTATTTTTGAATGCATTGAAAAATTTGATTAAAATATATAAATATAACATGAGCGAACTAAGAACATACATACGTACATGCAAATAGTAAATGTGAATCATGAACTGGCAGTACATTGCAGAAAGGTAGCTAAAACTGTACAATGGCATAACTTGTGAAAAATGTTTTTCAAATTAGCAAGAATTTCATGCTTCTATGGAAATTTTTGATTTTATACACTGATTTATGCACGAATAACGATAAAGGATTCACACACCCACGATATATAAAAAATTTATTTATAATATTATAAATTAAATAAACACATAAAGTACAAATTAAATGTAAGCGCGACACGAAATAAAATAAGTGAAGTAACTGAGGGATTTATATTGAAATAATTTCTCTTGGCAAATCGTAAATACTTAACGATTTCAATATAATAGCATAATTATTAGTAATAGATTTATATTGTAAGCATAACAAAAGTGTTAATTGAAAAATATGTATGTACATAAGCAAAAGAAGACGTTATAATAAATTATGAACAATAGTTTGTACTGTTGACCGTAAAGTTGAAAAACATTAACGGAAAAAATTATAATTAAATTTCATTTTGTTTCAAAATAAACATTCAATAACTAAGTAAGATTGATAAAGCTAAGAAATTTAGAGTCGCAACAAGTCGCCATTCAATTTACAGCAAACGAATTGGCGTTTGCGCAAAGGTTTTGAATTTATCTATGTGCAACTTTTGAAAATAAACATAATAAAAATATATTTTATTTAAACAAAAGTTTCGCATTCGCTTTAATACCTTGTTAGACAGCACCTTTTACAGTTTTTACAGAATCTGCATATAGAAAACGAACTCGTTTCGCGCCTAATAAACTACTTAGAGCCTATAAAATATGCATACATAATGCAAAACGAATAATGTTTCTGCCGTACTGATAGTTTATGACGTGCAGAATTGCTCACATTTTACACTTGGTTTGTATTAGTTTAAATGATATTATTCACAACTGAGATTTCGAAACAAATTTACTAAAGATAACGTTATTGCATATTTTCCAAACTAAATGTTTTAAGTTGCTTAATCTACTAAACTGAATCGATTTTGTTGCATGTTATAGGTTATGTTTGCGATCTACACATGCTCCAAAAATAACGAAGAGCACTAATAATTTAAATGTGTGCATTTTCGTAATAACTCAAAATAATTCGAAAAATTCAGAACTTCGCGTTTTTATTCAAATTTCATATTTTTATCAATTTAGAAGAAAAAGAATGTAAATAAAAATTAAATAAGATTCCAAGCAAGTATGAAACAAGAACTAAAATAAAATGACGTTTAGCCAAATATAACCTCAAAGACAATTTATGCAACAATAAAAACATGTTCGTATTTGGAATCATATATTCGTCAAATAACACATTTAATTTTTGAAAACCCTCAAAGCACCTTTCTGCGCATTTTATCAAATATTTAATTGAAGAACAACAAAGAAAAGCGTAAAAATGCAAAATATACAAGGGTAGTGTAATAATTCATAAAATATTTCTTAATACATATGTGCATATATGTGCATTTACATGTATGATATACATACATACAAAATAAAGTATACCAATTGCTAATATCTGACAAAGATATGAAAGTATGCAGCAGTAAAAAGTCGGGATCATAAAAAAAGTCGACAAATTTCATAATAAAGTTGACATTTCGGGGTTGGTCTAAATATTTGAGCTCACATGCAGCGTAAATAATCTAGTCGGTGACAGTGGAACTACTGTTATAAGTATTGGTTTTTAAAGATGGGCGGCGCAAAGGCTATAGTTTCCAATATTAAGTTGCAATTTCTCTAAAAAGTGTTTATATGTAAACGATGTATATAAGGGTACTGTTATAAAAATATATGACTACAGTTGTAATCAAGCTTTTGTTGTTATGTTCCTGTAAAATTAACTGTACCTACCAACTGATTTTAAACACTCAATAAACTACGGCCAAGAATTAACCCATAATGCTGGCTATAGCCATATAAAGTACGTTTAGTGAAGCCTAGTTTTGTCATATGTTCTATATATACAGATGTGCATGAATAAAAAATAAGCAATAAATATAACACTTTAAATACTCTAATATAAAGAAAGCTTTGTTTATTAGTCCAAAGCATACACCTATACGCCAACAAGTTTTCAAGACCATTGCTTAACTTTTTTTTTTATTTATCAAGTATTTGTCCTAGCTGAACTCGCAAATTTTTTAATCAGTTTTCCAAAAAGTGTTTTTTCATGCTCTGAGCTGTGCACAGCAGCTGTTGCAAGTTCCAAGTGTTATCGCTAATTTACAAAGGATAAAACTGAGTGAAGTGTAATCTAAAACCCATTTACATGTATGTACATACATATGTATATATAATAATTTAGAATTAAGTATACAGAATAGGCACAGGCTGCACTCACTTGAAAACTGTAAAATAATATATTTATAGTTTAGAATTGGAATGTTAAGATGAATAGCTTAATTTAAATAAAGTAATGAATTGTAATTTTTACAAAAACAAAATAGTAAATAGCTAAAGCAACAGTAACTGTAACAGTAAAATCTAAAGTATAAACAATAAAACAATAGACGTTTGAAAAGAAGCACCTAAAAGACTGAAATATATACATAGTTCCTTTGTTTTTATTGTATAATGAGAAAATTAATTATTCCAGCTTAGAAAACAGAAAGTAAAGGCTACATAAAATATAGTAAAAGCAAAGTGGAAAATTAATCAAAATACAACCTTCACCAGCCGAACAAACATTATAATAGACGAAAATCAGCAAACAGCCCGACACAGCATACATTAATATAACATATGCTTTGCAAAAAAATGTATAAAAAAAAAATTGTGCAAAAAGAAATACGCACATACATACATATGTATGCAACGCTAAAAAACTTTTTTTT